AGAGCACTATAGAGTTGGGAGTTTGTCAAAGTAATGTTGGTGTAGGAGGAGTTCATGCAGAGAGTTAAGGAGTTAGTGTGTGTGTGTGAGTGTGTGTAGTGTGTTCATGTGTGTGTGGTGTGTTTGTGGGTGTGGGGAGAGTGTATAGTGTGGGGTGTTGGTGTGGGAGGGGTGCATGTAGAGTGTTGTGTGTGTGTGTGTGTGGTGGTAAGAGGAGTAGGGACATAGAAGGTGACAGTAGATTTCCCTTGTTAAAGTACCAAAAATTATAAATATGCTCACAGGCTTGGAGAACGAAAGGGTGGGCAAAGGGGAGCTGAGGGTCGGGTGGGGCAGGAGCACTGCCGAGAGCCTTCCTTGTCCCAGCGAGTCCCCAGCACAGCCCCCGGGGAGGGCCTGAGCCCCATCTTTCCCAGGAGAAGACTGAGGCTCCTCTCCCGCCCTCACAGCTCACAGGTCCTGTCCACACCTCAGCACCCTCTCCGATCCCCGACCTTCTCTCTATGCTCTGCTCCCGGGGCCAGGTGAGCAACACACCTACCACACTGCCTCCCCGCGGGCCTCCTGCCGGCCCTCTCACCGTTCCCAGCATTCTACAGGGCACCCATCCCAGCGACGTCCACCAGCAGAAATCCTTCTGTGGTCCACAGGCCATCACCATGCGTCAGGCCTCAGCTCTGGCCACAACCTCCCCCACTGCTACAGATGTGGGAACTCCCTCAGTAACCCGGGAAGCTGGCGGCCTCTCACCCTCTGGCCCTCTCTGGCCCTCTGCCTGGTTAATCCCACCTTAGCTGTTAGTTATCAGCTTCCCTGATGCCCAGACCAGGTGAGGGGCCCCACCGTGTGCCCCTCAACCCCGTTATCTTGGTGCCATGGGACAGGGATTTTCATCGATTTTCTTCACCATCGTCTCCCTTGTGCCCAGAGCAATGCCTGACAGTAGTTGGCACTCAATACATGTTTTTGGAAGGAAGAGCACTTGCAATACTTTATCCTAATTGTTTGTCTGTTTGCCCTGAGGCTAGTCTCCCTGAAGACAGGGTCTCTTTTGAATCATTTTTACCCAATACTCAGCACAGAGGCTGGTTTGTAGTAGATGATAAATAAATATTGTGGAATATAACAGAATTCTATGCAGCTGTTCTTTAAAAGAAGAATGATGACATGTTCTATGCAATGACATGGAGTAGGTAGGTATCTGAGAGGCACTGTTATGTGAAAAGGCAGTAGCAGAACCCTGTGTATAACGTACTATCATGTCTGTAATAAGAGGCTTCCTCTCACATTCGTTGCTACATAAAGAAAACTCTAGAAGGCTGCACAAGAAATAAATAAAAGTGGTTGCCCTCCCAGTGATTCCACTTCTAGGAATTTATCCGAAGAAACTCGAAACACTAATTCAAAAGAATATATGCACCTCTATGTTCATTGGGGCGTTATTTACAATAGCCAAGATTTGGAAGCAGCCCTGTGTCCATTAGTAGAACAGTGGATAAGACAGCTGTGGTACATTTACACAATGGAAT